GCATGGTGGCCCGAAAGAGATGCCAATACTGAAGGAAAAATAAACAACGGGTTTCTATGCCAATGCCTCAGAAGCTTACCGGCTAAGAAATCACATCTTTGGAAATGGTCAGTAGAACCAAGGCACTATGTTCGTGTAGACTATACGAATTATAATAGTCAAAACATATACATTCAAAATAGGTTGACGTTTGCACAACCTATGCAGTAAATATTATGTTCGTCATTAAACAATGGTATAACTACAAATTGCGGGGCAACTATACAACAAATATGCAAACCATTGATTCAATCGTTTTCTACGGCTTATCAGCCATTTGCAGGTTATCTAAAGCCAGAAAATATGTTTAGTTTGTAAGATTTTTTGGAGATAATGATTTAGGGATATAACTGGAGGAAATAAAAGGTGGATTCATAACTTTCCCTCAGGATATTTGCTCGTAAGTGAATATAACGCACCCAACTGAAATTGGAACTCCACTCCCCGATTGACAATTCTGAGTCATTATCCATTACACCATCTGCACATCCAAGCTTACAGCATCTGGTATTCCCAAGTGGTCACGCATCTAGTACTGACCAAGCTTGACGTTGCTTAACATCGATGATAATTTCACCCCGAGCAAGGTAATAAAACCACTAAGACGCAATGAGTTACTAACTGTTACGAAAACTGAGAAGACGTTGCTTGGACACTTAATTTTTTGTAGATTGTAGTTGACAGGAAAGCAAAAAGCGATGACTTATGATTTCGTGTAAGCACAACAGCACGAGCAATGCCGTCTACACAATTTTCACTGATATGGGTTCGGTCAACGCGTGGTATGGTCCGCAGGGACGTTCCAAAGGCTCCGCACACTGGAATCGCCTACCCAGTCCGATAACATCAAGATTACAAAATCGACCATGGTGAGATATGAACCCGTGTCTCATGGTCAGAAAGCGAACGTTCTCAGTCCCGACCGCACACCCATTGTGGTTCTATACCTATAAGATACCACAAACGATGCAGTTCGAAAGATTCAATAGAGTGTTAGAGTTGATTGTATTTTTGGCAATAAATGTAGAAAAAAAACTAAACAAAAGCATCGCTCGCCTACTTAAGACACAAATAAATAAACAATACAGCCAATAAAGAACTCTGAAAAATTATAAATGCTATAAAATTGTGTTTTATTACATCAGCCTCCTTTATGGCAACGTAAACACACACACATACACACAGACACAGATACACACACACACATACACACATATATATATAGTGTATCAAAATAATTTTATAAACATTGGGAGCGGGTTCTTGATGCCAAAACAAAGTAAAATATCCACATAAACATATGAACAAAACACTATCATTGTACCTCAGCACAGCAACTCAAAACAGAATTTTTAAATGTCTAAAATGTAATAATGCACTAATCGGATCACTGACTGTCGGAACCTTTCAAATACTCCCACACGGAGTCGAATGCTTTATGACAAGTTGATAAAGCGTCTCTTCATTATTAATGTCTGCCGCATAAACCAACTGTTTTAGGTAGCCCCACAGATAAAAATCCAAAGGATTGAGGACGGGGGAACGTGCAGGCCTACTTACCTATCTTTTATGGTAGATGCCAGCCAGTGCATAGCTAACAATGTGACTAAAATGTGCTGAAGCCCCATCATGCATGAACCAAATGCGTCTTCGTATTAGCCTGAGTATATCCTCTTGCTGGTCTGGAAGTGTGATCGAAATACAGCTTACAGCTGTAAGACGTACTGGAAGGACATATGGACCTACCAATCAGTCACCTACAATTCCAGCCCACACATTAATCGTAAAGTGATGTTGGTTTCTCGCCTGTATTGAACCATGAGGATTCCGATCAGACCACAAATTTTGGTTGTATAAATTTTTATTCCATTTCTTACAAATGTTGCTTCATCCGTAAACAAAACTGAAGAGACAAACGATGGATCGGCAGTGCAATAAACCATTGGCAAAACTTCTAACGTGGTGTGTGATCAGAGGGTGAAAGACCCTGCGCACATTGCAAATGATACGGATACAGGAGCTTCTCTTGAAGTACCCTCTATGGGATACTATGAGATGTACGACATGCTAGGGTCACTTGACGTGTGTTGATACCTGGATCGTCTCCAACAGCCTATGGAATGTGTTCTTCATTGTCAAGCGTATGAGCGGATCTCGGTCTTCCTGGGCCCATAGTCTGTGGTGCAACGTAACGATAAACACCAACAAAGTTTGGATGATTCGGCTGCCTTCGGTCTTGAAACGCAATCTGATATAGCCGGGCAGCCTCGCGTCCATTACCATTCGCGCGGCCGTATGTAAAAATCATATCTGCTTGCACACGATACGAATATCCTATCATTGTTAAACGGAACAGTTCTCAGTTAACTCACTACTACACACGTTAAACGTTGAAGACAGACTAGCCACAAATGTACGCGAATGGCAAATGTAATCTAGTCTTCATAGCAACTCAGAGTCATCTACCGTAAACTTTCTTTAAACTTAACTCAAAAGCGATGGATTTGCGGGCATATGTTTATATGGACTTTTGTCCTCGTTTTGTTTTGAGGAACCCGCCTTCAATGTTTGAAAACTTGGACCATCTTGCCTGCAAAAACAGTGTGCCAAAAGGACAATTTTTCCATTGACACTGCTATTATTTTAACTACCTTCACTCCTCGGCAATATTTATTGTTTTTAAAAGCGATGATTAGAGTTGTAATAAAACTTAAACATGTGATGAAAGTGAATTTATACATCTTTTGTGTTCTTGAGATTTAAAAACAAAAACGTTAATCAGTATTTATTTATTCATATACAAGAATAAATTTATATTTGCAACATTCTAAAAACTAAGACAATTAAAACACTAACTCCAATGCAATATTTATCATTTACCAATCTATATTATACATTGATAAACTATATGGTATGTAATATCTTACAGAATCTATAGTTTACCAATGTTCTATTTCATCGATTGAAAATCCAGGTATTAAAAAATTGTATATTGATAGCACAAAAATGATTTTAAATTAAGATGGTACCAACATTTTACGTCTTTCAGTAACAATGGGTACCGTAATCAAACATTCCTCTCTAAATATTTTAGGCATTTAAAAGAAACAATAAAACGGAAATTATTAAAAAAAGGACATGAAAGTCATTAAATGCCCCAATGTCCTCTATGCCTACAGGAAAAGTTATATATTATTAAGTTTCTTAAAAATAAAGATTTAAACAAATTAACTTTTTTTTTTTCGACATTCTGTTATCTTCACATTAAAACATAATTAATAGGATTTTTTATTTAAAAAAATGTATACTTTAAAATGATATATCAATTATTTAGTTACATATAATGGTACAAAAATGTGTCCTTTATTCCCTATTCTCGATATATACACATCTGTATCACAGTGTATCTTATAAACGTTCTAAAAAGAGAAAGTGAGGATGACGTATCTATTACACGACAGACAATTCTAGACAACCTGGAATTACATACCCACACTTAACCTTTACCCTACATATTTCATTTTCCAATTTAAATTAGATCTGTATTTAGATTCGTCAAAAAAAGACAACCCACATAATAAAATTTTGAAATCTCATTCCCTCCTCCTATTTAAACACTTCAATATAATACTACTTCGCTTGCAAAAGTAAATCATTTTTTTAAACTTATTCAAGATCGTTGAAAAACAGAACAATAATTTTAACCTTCAGATCCGAAACATAGACATTTTCGTGTCGGGCTGATAAAATATTTTAAATAATGATATTATAATATTATGCTCTACTTTAAAAAAAAATAAATGCTAAAGAATTGGGGGTTGTTAATCTGACTGTTCTTTCTCTTTTTTTGGTATATATATATATATATAAGTTTACGTTGAGGTCAACATCTAGCGTCGACAGTCTGTTTCACACATGAATGTAATCGTCAAGCCATGTGTGCGTTGTATTTTGTCTCGACCATTTATATATGTTGATGATACAATAAGGTAATAATACAATAGACTTAGCCATATGGCTAGGTCTATTGTATTATTCTATCGGTTATTCGAGTGGGCGGTAACGGTTATGTTTTGAATTATTCTAGGGGCTATTGAGCGACAATAATTATGGATCCGAATTCAATTGGCCTGACGACTGCGTTTTGGCATGAAACAAATTGCCGCCCCTGGATGTTTACCTCAATGTCCACTTTTATATTTGCATAGTCTCTATCACTGATATCGAGAAAATAATTGTTATAGTGGAACACACCTATTCTATAGTTAATAGACTCTCTCACCTATAATAAGTAGAAGTAGTAAGAGTAACGTGAGTCACTCAGTGGGTCGGTCTGAAGTCGGACGACCGGCTGACCGGTTGAACTCTCTGCCTTCGGGCGGGGAGGAACCCGAACGTGGCTACGCCGAAGGGCGGAGTCTCTTTCGGGGAGGTAAACCGACCCCGAACCCGTTTATAGGGGTTAAAAGGGCATATTTTTGTCCGAGCCCACGGGCTCGGAGATTCCACGTTAAACCGGCCTTGTGCCACATGATACCCTCCTTGGGAGGTGACTGAATACCGCTCAGTGGGTCGGTCAGTCAGTCGATGTCGGACGACAGTTAGTCGAATACTAAACTATCAGCGACCACAACTAGATTTCTCTGCCTCATTTCCTATTATATCAAGTTCCTAACGTTTTGTACGTCGAACCTATTTTAGGACCGACTTAGTACAAATACAAGCCTCCACTGTGAAATCACTCCATAAAAATAATTCATCACCCACAAGGATGCGGAGGTACTTTCGACTCTATCGAAACTGTAAAGTGAAGACTGGGCAGCAGCTGCCCTTATATGGTAGCAGTATTCCATTTTCTCCCGGATCTAACTTTTGTAAAGGTATAGGATATCGGGAGGAGTTAGGTACTTCCTGGAGTGGTATATGTCGTATATGTATTTAAAATTTGTGCACATTCTTACCGTTTTTTGAACATTTCCATTTTTCTTTTTATTGCCTTCCATATTGACTGGCAAAGAGTACATTTCATGGGCCAGGTAAATTTCACATAATTTGTCCCGGTCATTTTCAACAGCACATAAAAAACCACTGTGAATCAGGTGCTCCGGATAACAGTTGATGAAGTAACGCACAAGGTCTGTGTCATTGGCTGTAGTGGCTAACTCGAGCGATGTCCGACCCATCAAGTCCATACAAGTGATGGACACTTTGCCGCTCTCGACCAGGCGTTTGATCGTCTCCAAGTCGCCGATTTCAGTGGCTGCGTGAAAGTCGTGTTCATCGTCGGTAAGACCAGCTTGGAGTCGTTCTTCTATTAACAACATCCGGGCAGCTGAGTTGAGCGTTTTCTTGCAAGAATGCTTCACCATCTTGCTTTTACGAAATAAATTGAATTATTTTCTTTTCTTTAATTTCTTCTCTTGAACGGCACGAGAAACCTGTGGTAGAGAACAAAAATAACATAAGAATAATTAGATATATTAATAGAAAAATGGAATACCGACAATTAAATATATTAGGAAAAACATGGAACACCGATTAATCTATATATAAAATTCAATGACTTCCGTTAGTCCATCCATTCGTCCTTCACACCCTCTAAAATAGCCATATACTGACCGATCGAAACCAAACTTTGGCGAGAAGTGCAAACAGATAAACGGGTACAAAGCACAATTGGTTTTACTCGGATGCGTGGCTTAGTACAATAAATTTTCATTAATTTTTTGGAAACATTAAAAGTTGTATTTAACATGCAAAATACTCCCACTATTTTAAAAAAATAGTTTAATGATTAAAATAACAAATATTTATTAAATAAAAATGCAATATTGTTTTTTGCATATCTTTTCTTTAAGTTTTATAGATGCAAAAATCCAGTTCCCCCTGCATTTGCGAGAACTATAAACAAATCACAATGCCAAACACTTCAAAACGTTGAATTTGACCAGAAAGAAATATCTACGCATGGCCAGTTGTGTGTTGTATGCTCAAGAGTAAGAAATCCTAAGAATTTATTCTTCGCTGTTAAAAAAAATATTGTTTACCGTGAAGTCCTATAAAATTAAATTAAATTAAAGATAACTATTAAACCGCGAAGTAGGGTCAAAGTACTTTTGCAAATAAATGAACTTATTCAAATTTCATCGATTGGTTTGCAAAATTGAACGAAACGTAGAGTTTGTAAATATCGACAAAAATGTTAGCGATATCTTCAACAATACCGTGAGGAGCTCAACACGTGTCAGCGAGATGCAAAAGATTTCTAGTATTTAAATATGAAATACAGATAAAAATATGTTAAGAAAAAATAGAACACGGATAATAAATATATTAAAAATAGAATACCGGTAATTATGTACATTAAGAAAAATGCATTTTTTGAAACTGGAGTTGTTAATATTTTACAAATTGACTATAGAGTCAAGTAATAAGCGAGGGACAAGTTTCTGCTTAAGAGCGATCTGTGGCAAATTAGTGTAAGAAGCCAAAACATGATCCCTTCTGACACTAATTTTAATATAACAAATATATAGAAGATGTCCCAGATGTCATACTGGACTTTACAAAATGTTTTTGTTTATTATTCAATAATATTTCTATACACAACTAGAATTCAAAAACTCGAAATATATTGATATTCAATTAGAAGACAAATTTTGAAATTTCGCGAAATTATCCGGTGACCAAAATTTTATCTGAGAAGATGCATCCTTGCCGGATCATGTGTTCAGTAGGGAAGGTTGTTTTATCAATTTTTTTTAGAAAATCAACGTTGTACTTGGTGGGAAAGCTGGGGTTTGAAGCGATATGTAATGACACAAAAAAATTATATTCATAGCTTTCACCAATTTTTGAACATTAAATGTCGTCTGAAAAAAATGTACAGAAATACCTAATTTCCGCAGGTTTATTGCTTACAAACTGACTTCAAAATTTCAATAATAAATTCAAAGTTGATATCTTTTGCATTAGATACATTGAATGGAAAATATATTCAAACCAGAAGTCTAATTATGAATCACCACATGCAAAATATGTATTTTTTACTGTATTCGATAAGTAAAACCTGTAAAAGAAATTGTAAAAGATTGCGCAAAGGCTACTTAAATAGGATCTTACATCATATTAAAAATATTACATGTTACATCATATTAAAAAAAACACAAATAGATAAAAGTGTAATAGTATTGCTGGGAACAAATTATAAGACAAAATGTTTTAAATTTACATTTTCTTATTGAAAATCGCTTTAAAATCATTGCGCTGTATACCATATTACATCATAATATATCTACATTGTTTTATAATAGTATAATTTACCATTGAAGTGAATGAAAGACTTATTTGATGGCACAAATTACAATTTAATAATAATGTGCTTGTGTCATGCATCTTGTTTAGAAACAGTTTGTAAGTATAAATAAAATTCATAAAGCTGTGCTATAAAAAGGGTTTCACTGATCATCGGAATGAAATTCCAACGCTATGATTTTGAACCTAAACTTAATCTTCAAACTTGTTTCCTCAAAAACGGTAGCGATTTGGAAAAAAAAAATTATGTCATTATTTATCATATCAAACCCCAACTTTTAAATTGAGTGCCATGCCTCGGTTTCAAAACTGACCTGCCCTAGTGTGCAACGGTTCTATTGTATTGAAACAACGTCTATGGTTTTGTTCTGCACTGACCTGTCATTAGTGATTTTCATTGCCGTTTTCATTTTCATAGAATAAAATTCTACAGTTTTGTTTCTTTGTTCTGTTGTGACAAATACACTTAACTAGTTACTTAGTATCGTGTAGGACCCTTTCTAGACAGGCGAGGCGTACGAACATATGATCAGTGAAGTTAAGCAACATCGAGCCTGCTCAACACCAAAATGAGTGACCGCTTGGGAATATTGAATGTATAGCCCGAAATGCGCTTTGCAGGTCAGGAATACTAAAATCAAGTAGACGCAGGAGTTTAAATATCTGGGAAGCGTCTTGACAGAGGACGATAAGTGCGACACTGAGATCCTTAGACGTATTGGGATGGCCAAGGACACATTCCAGAAGCTGGGCAGAGTATTGCGAGACAGGAGGATTTCTTTGGTAACAAAGAAAAGAATACTGAGCTGATACGTGACATCTGTACTTCTTTACGGCAGCGATTTCCTTAAAGATGAAGAAGAGACTCGAAGCGACGGAGATGTGGTTCTACAGAAGCATACTAAGGATATCATGGACCGAGCATATTTCTTTGTTCCGTTGTAAATTTTGTCCGTGGTTAATTTCCTTATGTTTATCTAATTTTCGAAAAAAAATTAAATAAAAAAAATATGAACAATCAAACATATTTAAGTAAGTAATTAACTTTTGTGGCATCCCGTATAAAATGAACGACATTCATTTTGAGTTCATTATTTGCTGTGTTCGAGTGATTGCACAAATTATTGTACAGTGTAACCCGGATATAAGAGAGTTGTCGGGACCGGAGAAGAAGTCTCTTATATCCGGGTTTCTCTTATATCCGGGTTTGGTCTATTTTGTTTAGGTAAGTATGGGCTCTAATTTGGGACCAGAGAAAATCTCTCTTATATCCGGGTTTCTCTTATATCCGGGTCTCTTATATCCGGGTTACACTGTATTGACAAAAGCACTTAGCTAGTTACTTAGTATCATGTAGGACCCTTTTTAGGCCGGCGAGGCGTACGGCCATATAATGTTGATAGTTAAGCAACGTCGAGCCTGGTCAGTACCAAGATGGGTGACCGCTTGACACTATAGAAACTATAAAGCGCTTTATGATAACTTCATCACGAAAGCTACTGCGTTAGATGCTTTAAAGACTTTTGAGAATATGTGGCACAGTGTTTGCAACACTAACGCTCCATCTATCGTATCTGTGGAAGAGTCTGAGCAATTATCAAGAACTTTCTCTTCGCTAGGTATAAGAAGGTCATTGTAGATGGTTTTCTGAAGATCATATTAGTGTATGCGGCCCCGAGGTTCTCTACTCGGCCCTACCCTCTTTCTGACAGTCTGCACAGGAATATTATCAAATCATTAATAAACATATATGCAACAGTTTATGAAATTAGCTCCAAAAACTCAATGTGTTCGGAGCTTTGCAACTGATCTCTCATCTGACATATCCCAAAATAAGACCTGGATATGACGATAAACTACATCCGGTAGTAAGGCCTCTGAACGGGAGGTTTTGAGGAGCATGGAACGACCTCTAAATTGCTGTTTTCCAAGGTTCACCTTGACCTGGGGTTGTAGTACCTGTTAGGGTTCCAATTATAGGCAAATAGGGAACCCTCAAAACTGGGGTTTAAACACTATTAAAGCATAATAATTTTTTATAGTACAAATACCAGTAATACATTTTTTATAAAAAAAAATATTACCAGCAATACATTTTTGAAAAGGAAAAAAAATATATATATACATATTCTATTCATACAAATCTATCCTAAAAGTCTTTTCGGCATTAAATAACCCTCTGAGGTTGATATGTCGTAAACAAAATAAACTAAACTTAACTCAGTGGGGGTGGGGGAATGTCTTTGAACTTTCAATATCTCAAACGCCAAGCTAATATCATTTAGTTATCACAGATCAAAGCCTGGGTTTTCTCAAATTACAATGAACGGTAGCTCTCAAAATGAGGCTCCTTGTTTCGAACATCTATTGGGACTCAAGTTCATATCCAAATCTCAAATGGAACTTATATCTACAATCTAATGTGGGGAAAATGGTCAGCTCATTGTACCGTCCCAGAAGGTACCTCACTTCTGTCATGCTTTATCCTTTCAAGATTCAGATTAGACCAGAAACCAGAGTATTGATGCCATATCTTGGTTGAAACTGCACAATCCTCAATTGATGACAGAGTTCAAAATCTTTTGCGCGGTCCTGTGTGGGATGATTCTAAAGCTTCTTTCCTATAAACGCAAATTAGCAAGCATATCACTATTTCCATGGAAAATGTTCCGATGAGCTCTCCATTCTTTTCATCCACCGGTCCAGATCTTTACAGCTAAGACAAGTCATGCTAGTTCTACCGGGTCGAATTCCTCTCATTCCCTCAATATTCTTATTGTAAGAAGTTCCACTCAGATTTTCCCCGATTTTTCTCTCAAGAATCTATCTTACACATTGATATGTCTTCCATAATTCCATGCATTGAATATTGCTGTCACATCTAGTCTGGTGCTTCGGTTATGTATTTACAGAACCTTGATAAAATCCAAAGAATCTGCAATGTTATCGCTCCTGACCTGGCATCTCGGCTTCAGACACTCTCCCCCACCGCCATAACGTAGCTTGCCTG